AGCATGGACCACTAGCACTGATTCACAAAACAGTGCACAGACACCTCACGCTGGTACCTTTGGCTGTGGTGGAGTATCGCTTGTTGCCTCCAGGCAGAAGGGAGGGAAATCTGTTGACACAATAGCCACTCTTGGTGTAGGCACTGGTGAAGCCCTGTGGGGACAAAGCTCTCCTGTGAAACGTGTCCTATGTCCTTTGTGGCCTCTGTGCCTGCTCCCATCCTCCTCCAAAGGGTTATCAGCCTGAGATGGCTCCTTACAAGTCCTTCTCACAGTGTAGCCTCTCAAACCCTCATGAAGCCCATGGACCAGACTTGTGGCAAAGGGACAAAAGGTACAACTCACCCTGGAAGCAACGATCAGGGCCCTCTTTCCAACGGGGCACACAACCACAATCCATTCTTGCCCCAAATCTGAAGGAACATCGATCAGCCACTCAGACAGCATCAACTGGGAACATAATAGCACAGTGCTAAGCTCGGCATGGTGGTACATACCTACAGTCCCACCACTCAGGAGGCTGAGGCAGGCCTGAACTACACAATGAGTTCAAGGTCAGCCTAAACTATATAGTGACAGCCTATCTGAAAAAAATCCCCACAGTGCCAATGATCGACAGGATGCTGCTCAAATGCTGTAAGGACCAAGCACTTGAGTCCTGAGAATCAGGACAAAGACAGGAAGAATGACAGAGGCTCTACCCATACAAGCTGACCCTATAGGGCTCTTTTCACAATCACCAGCAGTAGTTCAGGACTATACCTCAGAGTGAGATAGACCCTGCCCTAGACATACAGCCATCATTTCCAAATGGCTGTCCCAAATACTGTTGTAAAGGCCTGGTGGCACAGGCCTGTGATGTCAATTATTCAAGAGGCTAAGGCAGGAGGATTACAAGTTCAAGGCCAACCTAAGCAACTTGCTGAAACCCTGTCTCAAAATATAGTAAAATAAAGGGCTGGAGATCGAGATCATAAGGCCCTAAATTCAATGCTCAGTACACCAATACATAAACTGACTAATTAATGAATGATATTAGGAAAGTTTCTATTTCCATTAGTCACGTGACCCCCAGCTGCTCTTATGTCCTCATCATGTAGCCCCAGCGGCCTCACAGGCGCCCCCGCACCTGGCTCTTACTTAGCATTTCCTGGTGATGTCTTCCTACGCACTCTGACTCCCTCACCCAGATGTGCTACGCCATAGCCCTACTAAAAGTGATCCCTCGGGCTGGTGAGATGGCTCAGTGGTCTAAAGCACCTACTTAGAACAAGCTAAGCTCAAGCAAAGCACAGAGACCTCGGTTCAATCCCCCAGCACCACATGCCGGCCCGCCCGCCCCCTGGTGGGCTGAGCTGGCCACACAAACACAATAAA